CCATCGAACGCGATGCGATAGTGTCGTCTTGCGCGCTCGTGTCTGGTCGCTCCGCGGCCCCCGGAAAGCCGCGCACCAGAGGTCACTCTTACCCAGGGTCACTCTTGTCACCAGCCTGGAATATGTCCTTATCCCTATGATTGGCATCGCCTCATCTCGGTGCCGATCTCAGGGATTCCCTCCGTTTCCGAGGGCGCATCCCTAAGATTGTCGTAGACTTTGGGCTTGTTAGTCTTAGGGATAGGGATGCGTTCGAGGCTGGTTATCTTGCGAGCTCGCAAGAGTGACCCTGGTAAGAGGGCACTCTTGCCGCGCCGGCTCGCTCGGCTACGGGTATAGCCGAGGCGGAGCCGGCGCCGAGGCCCCGCGCCCGCGCGCATGCTTCCACGCGGCGTCGACACCCCTCCTGGGCCAGGGCCCGCCCCCCGGGCCCCGGGGGGGCCGGGAGCCCCTGAAGTGCTCGGCGCCTTCGCCCCGCGATCGAGCACGGCAGGCGCCAGCCCAGAGATCCGACCCGGAGATCCAACGCGCTGAAGAGATCAAGGCGGAGGTCTTTCGCGGTTTTTGTTGGCCTCTCGGGGCCCTCGCCGGGCCTCGGGACCGTCAAAGAACGACTCAGGACGAAAAAAGGGTCGGGACTTCCGGGGATCCCGCATTGAAAGAATCACGGCGTCGGATCTCTGGGGACGCTCCAGCATCAATGCGAGCGGCCCGTTTTGGGCCGATCTCGGCCTGGGGGAGCCCTCGCCAGGCCTCGGGGCCGTCAAAAAATGCTGCCTGTTGAAAAATCAGCCCCAGGGAAGTGATCCAGACCTCAGGGCCCCACGCGTCGAAGAAAGTGGAGCAGCTGGATGACTGGAGAGACCCCGCGCGTGGGCATCGCGTAATGGAGGGGCGATACATAGGGAGAAAACGACGAAGGCTGCAGAAAAGAAGCCCTTCAGGGCCCTCGAAGGGGCCCTTTCGGCCCAAAAGGGGGCCTTCACAGGGCCCGAGAAGTGCACCCTTCCCCTCCCCCATTACCCATGACTCGCCCGCCAATAGAGCGACGCCCAACCCGCCGGCGCGCATATGCGCGGCGCCCCCCTCCTCCTTGGCCGAGATCCGCGCCCCTGTCGCGGGGCCCCCGGCCGTCGCCAAGCTCCTCTTCGAGGAGCTGTCGCTGCTGTTCCAGGCTGCGGGCTGGGCGGCGCCGCCTGGCGGGGAGGCCCAGGAGGGAGGGGGGGGGCAACCACGCCCAGGTCCCCGACGATGCGATTTTCTATGTCCTGTTGTTGTTTCATCTTGAGCGTTCGCCTCGAGGTCGGCCCCTGTCCTGGAGACCATCAAGAACGGCTCGGGGAAGGATGTCAGGGTACAGGTCCACTCGTTTCTATTCACCCCGCTCCTCCCCCGCTCCCAGGAGGCGGGGTGGGGGGAAAGCAGTCAGAGGATGGCGGGACTCCTCAGGGACTCCCGCTTCGTGGACTCCCAAGACCTCCTAGTCCTCCTCTGAGTGTGGTCGTCCCTCCTCCTCCTCCTCCTCCTCCTCCTCCTCCTCCTCCTCCCCTCCTCCTCCTCCTCCCTCCTCCCTCTCCTCCTCCTCCTATTTTTTTCTTCGCCAGGCTGCTGGGCACTCCTCATCCTCCTCCTCCTCCTCCTCCTCCTCCTCCTCCTCCTCCTCCTCCTCCGCCTCCGCCTCCTCCTCCTCCCTCGTGTGGCCTCCGCCTGGCCCTCGTGCCCCTTCGCGGGCGCGCGCGAGGAACTAGATTCCCAGAGTCCTAGAATCTCCTCCTCCTCCTCCTCCTCCTCCTCCTCCTCCTCCTCCTCCTCCCCTCATCCACTGCAGGTGAGATGGGAGGAAGGAGGAGGAGGAGGAGGAGGAGGAGGAGGAGGAGGAGGAGGAGGAGGAGGAGGAGGAGGAGGAGGAGGAGGAGGAGGAGGAGGAGGAGGAGGAGGGGGGGGGGGAGGAGGAGGAGGAGCAGGAGGAGAGGAGGAGGAGGAGGAGGAGGAGGAGGAGCAGGAGCAGGAGCAGGAGGGAGGAAGTGGAGGAGGAGGAGGAGGAGGAGGAGGAGGGGAGGAGGAGGAGGAGGGAGACGGATGAGGAGGAGGAGGAGGAGGAGGAGGAGGAGGAGGAGGAGGAGGAGGAGGAGGAGGAGGAGGAGGAGGAGGAGGAGGGGGAGGGGGAGGAGGAGGAGGAGCAGGAGGAGCAGGAGGAGGAGGAGGAGGAGGAGGAGGAGCAGGAGCAGGAGCAGGAGGGAGGAAGAGGAGGAGGAGGAGGAGGAGGAGGAGGAGGAGGAGGAGGAGGAGGAGACGGATGAGGGAGGAGGAGGAGGAGGAGGAGGAGGAGGAGGAGGAGGAGGAAGTGGAAGAAGGTGGGTCTTCATCAACCGCTTGGCTCTCCGAGGCTTCGTGGGCCGAGGGCTGCGCGGGCGCCTGACTCCGGGGCGGCCGTGGGGGCCCCCGTGCGCGTGCGCGCCAAGCGCGGCCCGCGCATCGCCCGGCTGCCGCGGCAGGAGCGGGTGGCCCCAGGGAAAGGAGGCGGGGGGAGTGCGAGTAGCAGCGGCAGGAGGAGGGCGGAGGATGGGCAGCAGGGCAGGAGGGGAAGGGGGGGAGGAAGGGAGGAGCAGTCGGAGAGGGGAGGGGAAGAGGAGGAGAGGAGTAGAAGGAGGGCAAGGGCGAGGGGGTGAGGATCAGGAGGAGGAAGAGGTGTCGAAGAGCAGGAGGAGGAGGAGGAGGAGGAGGAGGAGGAGGAGGAGGACCAGCAACAGGAGGACGAGGAGGTTGAGGAAGAGGGGCACTTCGGAGGTTGAGGGGGCAGAGCCAGGTTAGACAACTGAAGCGAGGCCCTCGCAGAAAATTTCGACACCGCCGGAGACAGCGGGTCTGCCCCAGCGCTGGTCAAACAGCGTCCTCCCACCCTACGGCAGGTTCGCGTCGTGTCGACCCCGGCGGCAGCCCCGGCGCAGGCGTGCAAGGTGAAGCGCCGCCAGCGGCCGGGACTCGGCCGACATCGAGAGATCCTCGCTATTGGAAAGCCGCCATCGTTGAAGGTGGAGCGATCCACGCGGTGAACGCACAGGTCACGACACGAGCCTGCCGTAATCACAACCCCCCACGCTCTCCACAGTGGGTCCCGAGGGCGCCACGCTCGGTAAGTCCCGTCACTGACGGGCAGATCGTAAAACCGGGGGGGGTAGATGGCATGAACATGTTTCGGAGGAACACGTGAGGTCAAACACGTGGGTGATTATGCGATTGCGCTCTGCTTCTGCAGAGCCGGCAGCGTGCAAGGCGTCTGGGTGTTTCGATGTTCGACCTCTCGCGCGAAGAGAAACCACTTCTAAGTCACCAGCGGGGGCACGAAGGTAATCGCGTGTCGCGCGGCTGCCCTTCTCAAAGGGTGCGCACGCAGGGGCGCAAGGGCACGAAGATAGCCTTGCGTCGCTCAGCGCGGGTCGCAATGCGCGAAGTCAGGTGACCCAGAATTCTGTGGGGCGCGCTTCCTCGAGCACGGCAGGGGAGCTGACGCGCCCCGAGGCCATGGCTCTCGCTCGGCGTGCGAGACCCGCAGAGCCAGCGCAGCGTTCGCCGCGCACGGGCGTTTCTCACCGGATGTGGGGGGGTGTCGACACGGCTCGGGCGAGTGGCAAGGGGGGGTGGCCCAGACTGGGGGTGGAGAAAGGGGCCCTCCTGAGCCAGCGGCAACACAGGACGCTGAGGTTGCTCGCTGCTGAGGTTGCTCGCTCGCTCCTCCTCCTCCTCCCTCTCCTCCTCCCCCTTTCCCTCCTTCTCCCCTTCCTCTCCTTGCTCATGTCCTTGCCCATCTTATCCCCCTCTTCCTGCCCCCCCGTCGCGTTCGTTTTCCCCTTCTCTCCCGAGCAACAGCAAGCAAGGGCCCGCGGGTGGCAGGGCCTCAGAGGAGGCCAACTTGGGCACCTTCAGCTGAGGGGCAGCGCGAACGAGCGCGCATCGCTTGCCTCGCGATTCGCCGAGCGACCGTCGAGGCCTGACCAAGACGAGCCCCCCTCCCTCTCCCCCCGCCTCTCGCGGCGAGTGCGCGGGCTGCCTCGGGCGCGCGCCCCCCCGCGCCCGCGGGACCTGCCGCCCCCCCATGACGAGCGGCGCGACGGTGTCGGGCGTGGCCGCGCCGCCGCCGCCCCGCGCGCCCCCTCCGCCCGCCGCCCCGCCGCGGCCGGCGCACGGCCGGGCGGCCCGGGCCCCGGCGGGCGCCGCGGCCGGTGCGCGCCGTTGCGGCCGCCGCTCCCGCCGCCGTGGCGGCCGCGGCGCGGCACCGCCGCGGCGCGCGGCGGCGGGGCCGCGCGCCGCGCGCCGCCGCCGCCCCGCGCCGCCGCGCCTTCGGCCTCCGAGGCCGCTGCGCCAGCTGCTGCAGCAGCCCGCTGGCGAGCGGCCCCGCGCCGGCGGCGCGCCCGCGGCCGCGGGCTCGGCGCCGCCCGCGGCGGGCTCGGCGCCGCCCGCGGCGGCTCCCGCGGCTCCCGCGGAGGACCGGTTGCTGCCCCTGCGGCGCGGGCGTGGAGGGCCCGCGGCCTCCGACGCGCCCGCGGCGCCGCTCGTGCGGGCCGACGCCCCCGGCGCGGCGGCTCCCGTTGACAGCCGTGTGCTGCCCCTGCGGCGCGGGCGTGGCGGGCACCGCGCGGCTTCGGGCCAGTCGCAGGGCGCGGGCGCGGCGCCGTTGGGCGGCGCCGTGGGCGCGGCGGCTCCTGTGGACAGCCGCCTGCTGCCCCTGCGGCGCGGGCGCAGAGGGCACGACGGGGCCGCTGGCCAGTCGCGGGGGCGGTGGTCAGAGGATGAAGGGGTGTCGATACCGCTGCTCGTCCTGGAGAGCCAGAGGGCCCTCGTCGCCAGGGCCAGATTCTCGTTTGAAACTCCTGGTCAGAATGCACCCTGGGAGAGGACGCGTGGGGGTCTGGCAGTGGTTTCGATGCGTCCAGGGAGGAGCGGTGCTGGCATTTCGTCACTTCTCCAGGTGGGAGGTGCTGGGCGCCGTTCCCCCGATCGGGCACCGCATGCTGCGCTTCCGGAAGAGGCTCGCGCGCGAGGAGGCCGCGGCGTCAGCTGGGTCGCAGGCCGTCGGGCTGCCGCCGCGCTGCCCGCCGCTGGAGCCGCCAGACCCGGGCCTGTACCCAGAGGAGTTGGCGCGCAAGGTTTCTCGGGTGCGGGGCTTGCTGGGGGACCGCTTGGAGGGCCCTCTGGCCGTGGTGCCCTCCTTCGAGCTGCTGCATTATCTCGAGGAAGAAAGAGCTGAGCAAGTATGGGCGTTGGGAGCCCCGCGCGGAGTTCGTGAGTCGGAGCTGGATCCCCCCGGGCGGCGCCTCCAGCGCCGCCCTTGGCGCGCTTCGCGCGCCAGGGAGGGAGGTCCATCGCCGATCCAAGAAATCCGCGCGGAGCTCCGAAAGTTTGTGCTCATGGCCGTTTTTGTTGCTCCACTGTCGCCACCGTGCAGAGTTCGCGCTGCGTCAGGAGGGCAGGGATGTGTTCTTCACGATGTTCGACCCAGAGCGGAGGGAGTGGCGCGACGTGCGGCAGTTTCCAATTGCTTCTCGCCGCATCAATCGGGTGATGACGGAGCTGCCGCGCTTCTTCTCCGGGGAGCCGCGCGCCAGAGAAGAGGTGTTCGAGGTGGAGCTAATGTCGAACACGGCAGGCGGGGCGCTGGTCTGCCTGAAGTTCCACCGGCCCCTCCAGCAGGCCGAGGACGTGGCGATGGCAGCCAGGCTGGTGGAGCAGCTGGGACTGGAGGCGGCGGTGCTGCGGGCAAAGGGGCAGAGGCTCGCTGCTACCAGCGTCGGCCCCGCAGGCGCCGACGGCCAGGATAAAGTCGGGCGTGTCCCTCTACAGGAGGAGAATTCAAAAATAGTTACAAACATGTTAGTCTGGGGACATGTTTTGAACAAATGCTGAGTCTGTTTAAGCATGATTTTACTATTTTAAAAGTTCCTCCAACATCCACCTGTCGAAGGACATGCACGACCTAAGGCCAGGATGCCGCGCACGCGGCCGCGGCCGCCGGCGGGGACCTCGTGGAGACCACAAGGGTCGGCGGTCACTCGTTCCCGCAGCTGCTGCAGGAGACCAGCTTCTTCCAGACGAACCTGCAGGTGAACCGGGCGATGCAGCGGTGGGCGGTGGCGCAGACGCTGCCCAGCCGCTGGCCGCCAGAGCGAGACCTCCTGGAGCTGTTCTGCGGCAACGGCAACTTCACCCTGCCCCTCGCTGGCAACTTCCGCGCGGTGCTCGCGACGGAGCTGAGCCACCGGTCCGTCGCGGCGGCCGAGGCGTGTGCGTCCAGCGCGGGCATCGCGAACGTGTCCATCAGGCAGATGCGAGCCGAGCTGGTGGGCTCGCTGGACGCTGACGAGTTCGACTTCGGGACCCTGCTGGTGGATCCGCCCCGGCGGGGCCTGGACGAGCACTCGCTGGCCGTCGCAGGCCGGATGCCGAGCGTGATCTACGTGTCTTGCGGCCCGGAGGCTCGTAGCAGGGCGTAATTGTTGAGACAACGGCAGCTCAAAAGCGGCTCCTGGACCCTTCCCAGGGTCCAAGCGCACAAGTTTTCCGAGCTGCGTCCAGCCGTGGCGACGAGGGCCCCCCCCCGAAGGGCGACGGCGCCCGATCGCAACCACATGGGACCGATCACAGTTCTTGCGAAGGCCTTGCGGCTGGTGCCGCCGACCCTGAGGGAAACGACGATGATGATGACGACGACGACGACGATGACGACGACGACGACGACGACGACGACGAAGGCGGCCGCGGCGGCGACGACGACGACGACGACATTGACGTGGGCCAGAGTCCTCAGGGGTGCTTTTTGGGGTTTCTTCGGACGGCTCCCGTGAGCCTCTTGGGGGGAATTTTGAGCCCCCTTGGGACAGTCTTGAGGGCCTCTTGAGGGCCTCTTTGGGCTTCCTAGGGACCTCACAATTTTGGGCCTCTTGGGGCTTTGGGGGAATCTCTTGGGGCCTTCTGGGCCTCTCGGGGTTGAGGGCTCGAAATGTTTGTTCGGGCCCCCCATCTGTGCACGCTCTTTGGCCGTCTTGGAGGGGTTTGGGGCCGTCTTAGAGTCCTCTTGGGCTGTTTTCGAGCCCTCTTGGAGGCCATTTGCGCCGTCTTGGAGCGGCGGGAAGTGTAAAAGGCGAGAACGCCGAATGTATATATATATATATATATATATGTATATATATATATATATTCCCCAATCAGTGCTTGCACTGAAGGGGTCCGAGCGGAGGTTGAAAGATTTGGCGAAAGTTTCCCGCCGATTTTGGTGGCATGGCTGTGTTCCCGGGTTTCCGGTTCTGGGTTCCCCGGTTCCCAGGTTCCTGGTTCCGGATTCCGGGCCGATTTCGGTGGGCGGCAGGGTTCCCAAGTTTCTGGGTTCTTGGTCGATGTTCTTATCGATCGGTCTCGCCACCGATCCCATAGCCTATTTTTCAATCGATCTCATTATCGATCTCACTATCGATCTCACAATCGATCTCACTACCGATCTCTCGATCGATCTCACTATCGATCTCATTGAACCGACTTCACTATCGGTCTCACGATCGACCTTACAGTCGTCCTCTCTATCGACCCCACGATCGATCTCACAATCGATCTCAATATCCATATCACTAATTTTCAAACCATCCACTGATTCGGGCTTATCTCCGGTGTATAGTCTCTATATGTATGTTACAAAATAACGGGGACGCCGACAGGGACGGCGGATTTGGCAACGATCGCAACCAGTTCGGAACGGCCCCTTCGATTGTGACAGCACGCGCGTCTTGAAGCACATAATATCTAATGGCCGTTGGCCCATTCCGCTGCCGTGCCTGGGTTGTGGGTATGACGCCTGCTGGATGTTCGTTGGGATCTCGTGGGAGGCTTCTTGGAGGACTGGGGGACCGTTGTGGAGCCGTTTGGGGCCTCTTTTGGCCTTATGGGGGTCTCTCGGGGGCCTCTTGGAGGCCTCTAGGGGCCTCATGGAGGCCTCTAGGGGCGGAAGGCTCAGAGTTTCGGTCCGTATTCTCTCTCTTGGGCCTCTTTTGGGGCCGTCTTGGGGCCATCTTGGGCCGTCTTGGGCGACTATTGGGCCGTTTTGGGGCGCTCTTAGGCCGTATTGGGGCGTTTTGGGGTGGTCTTGAGGGCCTCTTGGGCCGTCTTGGGGCATCGGAAAACAGAAGCGACGAGAGCGCCAAAATCCTCCAAACATTTTGTGGGAAAATCAATGATTTGTGCCACTCGGGGCCCTCTCTGGGAGGCCCGTCTTCGAGGCTTCTTGGGTCATCTTGAGGCCATCTTGGGCGTCTTAGACCGATCTTTCCGGCGACTCGGGGCCCTCGTGTCACTTCTTGGGGACCTCGTTGGGCCCTCGTGGCCCGTCTCGGGGTCCTCTTGGGCCCGAGAAAGCTGCGCGACGAGATGCGGGGGAGCCCAGGGGGCACGCGGGAAGCCCCCCCCAAAGATCTGAGAGTTTGGGGCCTGGGCCCCTGGCAGCCCCTTCAGGAGCGAGGATTGG